GAAACTCTTGCATGCGCTTAAAATAGTTGCAATATAAAATACAGGATTGATCTGTAAGAGTTGAAGACGTCTGCAATAGGGAATAGTTAGCCACGGATGCCAATTACTACTATTAATAATAATAATAATTATTATTATTATTATTATTATTATTATTTCTGTGAAGATTTCCAAATGTCTATTATCTCATCCCGTACAAAGTTTTTAATTAAAGTTTGCTCTCTGGCTTGTTTATACGAGTCATCAGTGAACAGGTAGATCTAGACTAGCTTTTCGCACGCGTGTCTATTGTATTAGTACAATTCATATATTTGCCGTATCGAAAGTATACAACGAGTGTTTAGTATACAAAAGAAAATGTATGCACAACTGTTAATTAACAATATGTCAAAAGACACTAATTTTTCGTAGTAATCAACCAACCTAATGCAAGGCATGTAAATCATTAGTTCTGAGTTCGATACTCACAGAGTGCCTCATACTTATATCCTTGTATGAAACTAACCTAAGCTTAAATGTTAACTAGCATTAAACCTGCTTTCTTTTTTACTCACTTTGTGCCCGAACTGTCTAAAACGGCGATTTCTCCTACAAAATTTCTAACTCTACCGGAGAGTACATTTTCTTTATTAAGTTTTCTCGGATGCGCAGACAAGTAGACATAAGACACATTGTCAAAAATGGGGTATCTGCTACAAAAACACGGATATCCACCAAATATAACGTTTGAAGTAATAAAAAAATGTCAGGTAGAAATAAATAAATACATTCTTGTCTTTATTTATAATATGAATAAAAAAGTATTAGTTGTTTTTTACATATATATATATATATATATATATATATATATATATATATATATATATATATATATATATATATATATATATATATATATATATATATATATATATATATATATATATATATATATATATATATATATATATATATATATATATATATATATATATATATATATATAAACCAGTGGGGAAAATGTGTCTATTTCGAGCTAATTTAACAAAAAATAGTTTTAGTATTATATTTTGTTGGATATTTTAATTTTAATTTAATAATTGATAAAAGGCCAATTACTCATAAAAATATTCTTATACATATAATTTTCATTTACACATATATAATAAAATAAATAAAATAAATATATATATATATATATATATATATATATATATATATATATATATAAGATTGTGATGATAAAAATAATAGTTGTAAGGTATAATATGTTTATGGGTTAAAGTGCTCATAATCAGGGGTAGAGCGTATGTAAATATAAAAGTGGACGTCCTGACATTTGCGTTTAAGCATGAAACAGACTGTCTACACTGGGTAATGGCTTCAATGTCTACTTTTATATTTATATATAAGATTATAATTATGTATAATATATATATATATACAGTGGGAAAAATAAATATTCGTACACATGAAAAATTGTATTTTTATAAATGTAAAAGCCTTAACTAAAACAAATTTTGATACATTTTATGTGTAAAGATACATTTTATTAAAAAATAGAAATAAACCTAATTAATTCTTATTCTAACAGAAATTAATGCATTTTTTCATTTTAACTGATGAAAAAAAGTATTCGTACAAAACAAAAAAAGCATATTAACTTAATTTAATACTTTGTGGAATATCCTTTATTGAGTTCAACAGCTACCAGTCTATTCCTGTACGTCTCAACTAATGATTTGCACACATTGTGTGGTATTTTGTCCCATTCTTCTTGGCATATTGTCTTCAATTTCTTGATATTTATTTGTGCTCTTTTCCCAATTTGAATTTTCAAATATCGCCATAAATTCTCGATTGGGTTCAAGTCTGAGGACTGACTTGGCAATTGCAAGACATCAACGTTACTTTTAGCTAACCATTTCCTTGTAGATCTAGCGGTATGCTTAGGATCATTATCCAGTTGGTAAACCCAATCAGGAGGTAGCCGAAGTCTCTCAACAGAACGCATTAAACTGTCTTGCAGGATTTTCTGGTATCTTTCGGCATTCATCTTGCCATCTATTATTGATATTCTACCAACACCTTTTGCAGAAAAACAACCCCAGATCATGATACTGCCACCACCAAACTTTACAGTTGGCAACGTGTTCTTTGGTAAGTAGGCTTCACCGTCCTTCCTTCACATATGTTTTCAATAATTATGACCAAACTACTCTATTTTAGTTTCATCTGTCCATAGTACTTTTTCCCAAAACGAATATTCTTTATCCTTATGCTCTCTAACGAATTTTAGCCTAGCATCTCTGTGTCGTTTCAAGAGGAGTGTAGTCTTCCTTGGAATGCGTGATTTCAGAATGTTTTTGTGTAGTTCTTTACTTATTGTACGCATGGTTACTTTAATCCCTAATGCACGCAGATGTTCCTGCATCTCTTCTCGGGTAACCTGTGGATTTTGTTGGATCTGACGTCCTAATATCCTTGCTGATCTTAGAGAAATCTTCCTTGGAGCACCTGTTCGTCTTTGGTTTTCGACGCTGTTACGAGTTTTAAACCTTGCAATGAACGAAGCAATTGTAGTAAAAGGAATATTCAGGTTGTTAGAAATCGTTCTGTAACTGTTACCATCTTTCCAAAGAGACAAAATGTGTTGTTTTTGTGAAATAGTGAATTCTTTACCTTTAAGCATTATTAGAACCTTCTCGTAAGACTAGAAATTGCAGAATGCTCTGAATGGCTAATAGCGTTAACTATAATTACTGATAGCATTACTGGAACATTCTAGAATGTACTTTTTTCATAATTAATTGATTATTTTATTCTAATAATTGATTTGTACGAATACTTTTTTCACCACTTAGAATTTAAAAAAATGCATTAATTTCTGTTAGAATAAAAATTAATTAAGTTTATTATTATTTTTTAATTGTATGTGTATTTATACATAAAATATGCCGAGATTTGTTTTATTTAAGGCTTTTACATTTATAAACATACAATTTTTTCAGGTGTACGAATATTTATTTCCCCACTGTATGTATATATATATATATATATATATATATATATATATATATATATATATATATATATAAAGAATAAAAATGTTTTAGAGGTCTTTCTCAAGGAAAATGTAGGATTTATTTTTGTACACCTATTTATATACAAAAGCGAAGATTTTATTGGTTTATCAAAGCTTTTAAATTTGAGAAATGTTCATAAATGCTCATCAGATGCTTGAAATGTCAATGTGGCGGGTACAAAGTGCCATAATTCAAAGTCTGTCAAAAAGTAAGCGAATAATATTCATGTTTTTTAATGAATATTATTTAAATTGTGGTCACATTGTTATAAGATGGACGTATGTACTGTACATCTTCAGAAACATGAGGTGATGGATTTAAGTGTTCTCTTTTAATTTTTCAACGTTCTCGAAATTAAGTGAGTTTTCATTTGAATGATGCGTACATTTCTAAGCATTTACAACAGCATACCTGTCCACATTCGCAATTCAGAAGAATTCTTATTGAAAATACATCTATACTTTTTCATGAAAATAATAAGCATAAATTAAAAATTCTTGAAAGTATCTTTATTAAAAGTTGAAACCAAATCTTAATAACATTAATTATGAATATTGCACAAATGTTTTAAAATATGTGGAGTAGATAGTTTTAAAAAATCAAGGTTTATCCCAATAGTTCTTAATACGTATTTTAAAAAATCTCGACATTGCATAACTTAGGTACCTCCCTTGGAGCGCTACTTAGCTAATGGTACTAAACTCAACGTTCTTCACTTCACTAGTAAAAATTTTAACTTTCAGATGAACACAGTAATTTTGTCTTTGAAAATGACGAACACTACTATATTTGTCTTGAAAAAAACAACACCCTGATAATGACATTGTGCTAATGTTGAAAGTACTTGGAATAAATAATATGTATCAACACGATAATTTTCTCTCTTCCTTTAATAATGCTATCAAAAGGCTTGTCCGCGAATATGAAATGATCCAATTGAAAATGTCTTCAAAACTTATCTAAATTATTCAATGAAACATGTCTCAATATATATATATATATATATATATATATATGTCTCCATACATATATATATATATATATATATATATATATATATATATATATATATATATATATATATATATATATATATATATATATATATGAGAGAGAGAGAGAGAGAGAGAGAGAGAGAGAGAGTCTATTAATTCATATTCAAACAAAACAGTGTATCCACTTCAAAAGAAATAATTTTTTTATAACTTCTCGTTTGTCGATGAAAAGTGATCTATCATAAGGCATGACCACATCAACTGTAGTGGTTATTATTATTTTTGTCAGAGAAAAAATAAGTCAATAAAAAAGAATTTAAAATAAAAAACGAATCTATGAATCCGGTACACGTAAAATCTATGATATTCGGTCATCAGATATATTTGGTGTCTATCTTATTTTAACTTCATTTTAATGTAAACTTAATATATTGCACAGAATTAAATCAGATGCCATCTTCTGAGCCCTCTTTTTTTTCTTCTTGTTCATTAACTTAAATAATAAAACTGATTTAGTCAGTAAGATCGAATACGGAACATTTTACCGGACGGTTTTATATTTTCAAAATCACCATAAACAGAAAAATGTCTTAAAACATTTGTATGAAAGGATAACGGAAAGTCCGGTGATCATCTGATCATTTGAATAAAAGTATAAATTAATCAACTAAATGAATGGAGCGTGTACGCTCTTAGTCGAGTGTTATTTCTAACGAGTGTGAGTTAACTGGAGATTCCTAGTTCATCGTTTAGAAAGCACCTCTCCGCCTGTCACATCCTATAGTAGCTATACATTAAGATATTGAGATATGATATACGCGCCGCAACCCCCGAGCTAAAAAGATTAGACGATACAGGTCAGTGGCATCTAAAGGCACTTTCATTCAATTGGATCGTCGTAATCGCCCATTAAAACGTTAGTCGTGTAACACAGTCAAAGTTACATTCTTTTCACTGATAGACGAAACAGTCGAAATTGGAGGAAATGATGGTCATGGGGTAGAAGCAAAATATTATCACGAACAGGCTCTAATGTTAAAGACCGGCATAGAGAAAGAAGAAGAAAATGACGGAATACGCAAGAGCTGCTCCGAGGAATAACTGCTGTCCAGATGAGGAAGAGGAAAAATAATAGCACAATGAGGAAAAGAAGAAAGAAACAACTGTAATTACTAATTATTTATACTAGATTTGATAGTCTAACAGGAAAGACAGAAAGGAAGTAGCAGCAACACTTGCACATATCAGTGCAAGCACACACACACACACATACACACTGCACTTATGTATAACTGTTATATTCAAATAGATACACACACATACGTACCAAAACATCATAAAAACATCTTTCTGATGTGTCCTTTATGTCGTCATTTCTCATAAACTTCCTTGTTGTTCATATGATCCGTCCAGGGTATACTCAGCATCCTTTTAGCGAACCATAATATTGTTACCTCAAGTTCGGAGCTTCAAATACTTTTTGAAACGTGAGATTATTAGCTTATTACTTAACAGGCCTTGTCAGTCACTTTTCTATTTATATTCTCCCGTGCCTAATAAATCAGGATGTCTAATACCGAGAGGTAGATACATTTTGCAAATTGTTTCTTTAAATAGAGTCAAAATAATTTTATACCGTTAGCAGCTTCTGTTTTAGCACACTTGTCGAGGGAATCAGTACGAGGAATAAAAAAAAATAAATAAAAAATAAATAAAAGTTGCAGAGGTCGTAATAAGTGAATATAGTTGATAAAAAAATAAATCGAAAAACAGATGTTAACCGATGCCTTGCGCGGAAGAGTATTTAACTGCAAGTCAGCAAATAGATTCAATTATCACAAAACAAAATGAATGGTTCTCAGTTTGTGTAAATAAATATGGACATCATTTACGAAGCTAGCCTTAGTCGTGAACATGGGAAGAGTAGTGAGACACTCAGTGCGAAATGAACTCACAATACGAGTGAATTTGTCTGGTATGAGCTTATTTCACCCTTGGACAATGGTAGGCACCCAGTAAGGGCATAGACAGGTTTTACACTATTTACGAAATTTGAACAATAATCTAGAAAATTTACAACTTAAAATTGAATTGCTTTTCATAAGAATAGTTTCTAAAAATAAATTGAAGTCGGTTTTAAATAGAATTTTGACATTCGCGCATACACATACATATATTTAGTATTTCACGTTATTTTTAGAGGATATCCGTGTTTTGAGTAGACGCCTTACTTTTTAAACAATGTATATTACGTTTACCCCCCCCCTCTTACTTTCGAGAAAAATTAATACAGAAAATATTTTCTCCGAGAGCGTTTGAACCTGCATCGCCTTTATAGGAGAAACCACCATTTGATCAGGCGTGCATTAGACTGCTCAGCTATAATGCAGAAATTCATGTCCATCTTTTAGAATTATTTTTAAAAAAGAACCTTTCTGTGTTGTGATTCGCTCTATGGCCGAGCGTTCTCAATCACGCCGGATCACACGGCGATTTCACCTACAAAAAGGAACATTGGTTCGAACTTCGAGAGCGCATTTTCTTCATTCTCTCAGATGCGCAGACTAGTAGGCGTAAGACACATTGTCAAAAAAAATGTGGCATCTACTCAAAACACGGATATCCACCAAAATAATGTTTGAAGTAATAAAAATGTCGAATAAGATATAAATTAATTCTTTTTTATTTATAATTTAAATAAAAAAGAATTAAATGATTTATTTCTCTATATAAATTTATATTTATATAAATTTTATATATACCCTTAAATATAATTGTGCCTAATACAGGGGGTGCTTAATAAATAATGTGTGCGAATGTTTTCGCAGTAAGCAATAAGCGAGTGTGTTCTAAACATGGGATGAGAAATCAAGAAAGGGGTTAAAAAACATGAAATTAATAAACAGGGTGAGCTTAATAAGTTCGTGGGAAGGGAAAATGTCTTTAAAAAAAAAAAACGTCCGTCCCAGCTATTTAAGCATTTTTAAGAGTGCAGCGCACAAACACACACACACACACACAACGCTATTCGCTGAACGTTTGAAATACTTACATAAAGATGCGAAGAAAATTGTTATATTAACTACTGTGTTTTGTTTTCATGTCAGTATCGAATTTTATTCATTATTTTCATTAAAAGTTAGTATTACATTTACTTATTAAATAAAATAAAATGTCATAATGCATGTCAAGATCTATGAAATAGGATGTTTTGCTCGGTTCAGTCAGTTACTTCAACTTAAGTTAAAAAAAAGGAATTCCAGAATACGTTCCTATATTTGATCATTTGGTTAGATTTTGAGGGTGAAGCCAAGAACTTGTCAGTACTGTATATATCTAAAAGTCTGCAGACGATAAAGCCGTTAACGTTTTTTTTTTTTTTAAAAAAAACGCCAACGATTGCGTATGTATAAGCCAAGGGTGTAGTGAATTAGTGTCTTATATACTCACCTAAATGTTTGCACGAATATATATTTTAATATAGTCTTTGTTCGTGCATACATATTTTATATACCAATTCTATGTAAGTCTGCAAGATTATAATTATTTATGTATAATTAATTCTATGTTTACATAAATGAAAATTACTTGCATACTTATCGAAGAAAATTTTTTTGTATATCGGAATCTCTATCCGTATAAAAGAGTCAATATGTAAAATAAAAATATTGATGCAGGTTTTGGTAGAGATACTGCTGTTATCTTCACAACAGTTGTCGTATGAAATTATGACGATTATAGATATAAATAAGGATCCTTTCTGTTAATTCATCCAAATAATGAAAAGTTACTTATCCCAAGAAATTATATATTTTAAATTAAAGTTTGCTGTGTTTTTTTTTTAATTTTGGCACTCTTGAAATTATTAATTTTAAACCAAAGTTTGTTTTTTATCAAATTTTTGGCACAAGTTAAGATTTTTACAATTTAAAAAAAAAGCTGTTTTTGGCTTATTTATCGGAGTGAGCGCGAATGTAGACCCCACACTTAGAAATATCGCATCTTATACATAAATTCTTTTTTATTTTGCGATGAGTTAACAGAAAAGATTATACAATAATGCACCTTCATTTGAGATAATAGACCACAGAGCATTTTTAAATTATTTTAAAATTTATACTTTCTTAAACAATTTTAAAAATAATAAACTGTTATGCTAACAAGAACTTAGGTAAATTTAAATACATTTACATTCAAAATTCGATTGCAATTTCAATTACTATTTTATATACCATTTGGGAAATTTAAAAATTATATAAACCTTTTTTAAAAAGTATGTTACAAATAAAAGTTTGTATAAATTTTCCAATAATTTTCCAATTTAAATTTTCGTGTAAGTTTTCTTAAATGTGTCCCTCTTAAACTGTGGAAAATACATGAATCTTATATGAGAGATCAAACTGCAAATATATCAATGTACGCCTGCAATATCTCTTCTTCTGACACTTCCCACTAACATCCGACATCTTTTTATACAAAATTTTCTTTGAACGCTCTTTCGTTCTCTGTTTACCCAACAATTAAAATCGAACAATGCGTTTGGTTGTAAGCTTTCTAATTTAGATAAAAAAATCTACCATGAATAAAAAAAAAAGAAAAAAAGGGTTGAGGTCTATAAGATAACATTCGTCGTCAGTCAAAATAGGTTCTCTGTAAATATTTTCTTGTTTTCATCAACACTTCATTTGTCTTTATTCTGAACAATGTTAAAATATTTCAACTATATCTGATGCGTTTATTTTGTGTGGCCCAGGAAAAGTAGGGTTTTGTAAATACAGATGAAGCAAATTTCTTTCAAAACAATCAGGTACGAAAATAAAGTTGTTTTTTCTAGATGTTTTTTAAACTGATCGCATAAAAATATCAAACAAGGCAGTTGAGACAGAACAGTATTCATCTCTAAATAAAACATGAGAATAGGAAACAATTCCTGCAGATATGATTTTTTTTAAATATACAATGTCGGCGATCAATATTTTAAAAAAATACCAAACAATAACATTAACTCCAGTGTGAATTTATAAAGCAATAAATAATTAACAAACACTGTCATCTGAAACATTTTTATACAAATGAGAATGCAGCTTAGATACCATGAACTCTGATGACGACAGGGAAATCGGGTTTTATACCTCAAAACTTTAATTATATTTCTCAAAAAATACCAAGACAATTTGTTTTGGAAAAAAAGTTTTGAATGCAGCAAAAAGTGTATTTTTTTGTTTTATTATGTTTTTAAATAGTTAAAATAAATTTAAGAGTTGTTTCGCACATCAAATATAAAATTGATGAAGGACAGGAAGATATGGACAGACCAGATGAGTTTTTTTTTTTTTTTTTTTTTTTTTCATTTGAGCCAGCCCACTTTCTCCTGGTAGAGGCAATAAGAGACACTTCTTAAGTAAAAAAAAATATCGATATAATGAAGTCGAGTGTGTGTGGGGAGGATAGTTTAACACAAAATAGTCATGTTTTTTAGGAAGATTCATAAAAGATTAATACATACATATAAATGTATAAATCAATGAAACTTTATGAGAGTTCAAAAGCATTCAATATCTCTTTAGAAAATTTCAGGAAACTTGACTGTCATATAAGCTGCATTATAACATTTTAAATTGTTTGGCTTTGTTGTTCTGTGCTGTTTAGCTTTTTAGACACTCTTTTTTTCTTGATTGTTTTTTTATGTTTTGTTTTAATCGGTATCACCCCCATGCAAGGCAATAAAGCCACTAAGACACACGAGTTATAGGGTGTGGAAGAATTAGGAGCAGAAACATTAATAATGAGCGGGAAGAGGAAAGAGGAATCAGGAGGACAGTAGATAGCGACTGACATTACATTTAAATCTTTGCAGATTAAAGTTAATGCATGGAGCTGGAAGGGAGTTCCACAAGCAAGAAGTGCGAGAAAAGAAACTGTTAGCATAGAACCTACGGCTACATCTATCCAGCTGAACTGTAACTTGATGAGATATTGACGCTAATCTAGTACTGCCCTTAAATTCAAAAAGTCGAGGTAACACAATGCAAAAACATTTTATGATAATATATTTCATATTATGTACACATGTGTGTGATCACATATAAATCATATTTACGAGGGGGTGCTGAAAAATTCTCGGTACGACCTACTCTCCAAAATCTGATCAAAATTATTTATCATCAATTTTTTTTTCTCGTTATGACTTGTTGGCGGGGTCAAAAACTTTTCAACACTTACTTGTTTTTAGCCCGGATTAAAAAGTATGTAACGAGCAGTTTAAAATAGAGCCTTTATTTCCTACCTGACCAGGATTTGCTACCAACTTTGATCGGGCCAATCTATATATGTAATGTATGCCCAATACATTTTGAGCGCCCTCTAAAATGTGTACACATTCACTTGTTTGTAACTATGTTTATCTTCAATAATATTAATGTTAGGATCAAGAATAATTGTTACCATAAATACGAAATATTTCGATTTCAGTAGAACACTTTCCTCGCCACGGGCAATAATTTGGGGTTTTGAACTTATATTTTATTAAATATTCTCAACACATGCCTTTATATCTTTGAAATCTGTTAAATACAAAATATTCAGTTAAATTAAAAAGTTAAAAAAAACTCAATAAATATTTCTACAAATCTTACTTATCTCTATACTTCATATATATTTTCAGATTTTGTAAATTTAAAGAACATTAAATGACATTAGAAAAACGTAGGCATATTATAAAAAGGCTATTACTACTGCATACGAAAATGAGTATTTCAACTACGCCATTGTTACAAGTATAACTAGTTAAATGCATGGATAAATACTGCACATAGATACATAAAAGCATAAATACATATGGACATACCCAGATACATAGGTAGACATATATATATAGATACAAACATACATATATAGATATAAATATACACATATACATATATACATATATACAGATATACATACAGACAGACAGAGATACACATATAGATAGATACATATATAGATCCATACATACACTACATGTATAGATACATACATACATATATGTGTTATTTATATAAGATAGCATGAACTGATTGTATATAAATATTTCATGATACAGATTAACATTTGTAACAATCGCGGAAAACATTGCATCAAACCAAATTAAAACGATTGAATTAAATTAAAATATTTTGAGTTTGTTCTTTGATGACAATACTCTGAGCGTAGAAAATATAAACGTGCGCAAAATTTAATATTGATGATTCGTAAAAAGAGAATATGAAATACGTATAAAACCTTAGTTTAAAAAATGCTTGTCCAAAAAAAAAACGCCTAATTGAATAATCGAATGAAAGATCAAGTTGTTTACCAATCTTTTCTATATATCGTCAACCATCGTCTTTAGTACCTTCTCGAGAACAGGGATAAAACAAATATCGTCAGCATTCGGCAACATAGCAGCAGTTGACGTGCAATGAAAAACGAGCGATGAACAAAATAACCAGGTAGTGACCAGAAAATTAATGGCGATAATTCCAGCATCCCAGTTAGCTTTGATTTTCTTCGAATACATATCAGTTATATTTTCGATTAAATTTACGGTCTACTGTACATACGCATGATTCCGGATACACGCAAACACACACACACATACACACACACACACATATATATATATATATATATATATATATATATAGAGAGAGAGAGAGAGAGAGAGAGCGATATATATTTTAATGCGATAGTGATATATATTTTAATTGTATGACGAACTGTAAAAAGTTTATTTGAGACGAATTTCGTGCTTCAGGAATTCATCAGACTAAATTTGTTGGTAGAACGACACATGCGAACAACAGATGGCTGCTGAAAATTTAGAATATTTTTAAGTAGCTGAATTTATTCATTATATATATATATATATATATATATATATATATAAAAAATCCTAGTGAGCCGAAAAGTACCTACCTAGGTTTCACTTAAATGGATCTTCAGGGCGAACTGGTTGAAGCGGATATGACAAAGGGACATATTTATTGGTAAAAACAAACACTAAAAACCATTCGACGTTAAAAAAAAAAACAAAATTTAATTAAAATAACTACTATTCTTTTATTCCAATATCCATGCTTTCTTTGGGTTAGTAACATGCTCTACTTAGTGTATTGAGCACTTTACGTTTTTTTCTTATTTTACTCGAGGTTTTTGGGGGTTTTTTTTCGACGAGGTTTTTAGGTGTTGGTCAATTTTGTTCGATATTTTTAACTTGGATATTTTTAGTCTTTTCTTTTTTTCCAAATTTTTTCACCATATACCAGTTTGTTTAAATATATTTTTATTTGCAAATTGTATTATCCGTTTTTATTTATACCAGTCGAGTATATATAAAGATGTTCGAGGATACCCATTTAGTAGAATATCTCTCTCTCTATATATATATATATATATATATATATATATATACTGAACACCGTGTTATCTAGCGTGATCAACAATTTGAACAAGGTCAGCACGTTGGCTTTGTCTACCCAATTTCACTCATAAGTGGTATGGTTTTCAGGCACTTTCCAAACCTCGATCCATTCCGATAACATCAAAAAGTCTCCTAACAAATCGAACCCGGGCCTCATGGCCAGAAAGCGAACTTTCTAACCACTTGTGTGTGTGTGTGTGTGTGTGTGTGTGTGTGTGTGTGTGTGTGTGTGTGTGTGTGTGTGTGTGTGTAAAACAAGATATATGTCTGTGTGTATGCTTTTATGCATGTCCACATTTTTCGACCGATTTCGATGAAATTGTATATACATGTTGCAAATTTACCAAGCTCGGTCAAGACCAACTTTTCAATATACAGCCCCTGCCCAGGTATTGGCAGAAAAAATCGATATAACTGAAGGTGGGTACGACTTTTTGCAAAGTAACGTGCGAACAAAATTTTTACTGGATGAGCTGATGTTCTTTGCACTTAGTGCAAATCATCCACTCATGTTACGGGGTTTATGTAGAGTGCTTGATAGTTTTTTTGCGATATTGGCTTCACTCAAAAAATTGTAAAAAGATTTTCGTACAACTTAAAATAAAAACTTGAATAACTTCCCCATCTTTTGTCCGATTTTCTTCAAATATGTCGCAAAAAAATGTCATCATGCAAGAAATAAGAGAGTCTGCGTTTAGTCCTGCTCGCTTCTCCGCGTGTAACGAAAAACCACGAAAAGCAAGCCATAACTCCCTGGTTTTTCATACGATGCTTTTCAAATTTGCCATGTAAATTACATACAATTTGTCTGGCGTAAGTGATTGGTTTACATTATTTCAGATAAGTGGACGAAATCAGCGACAAACTAGGTCCCAAATTTTTGCCACTTAGCCAATAGATTCTTCATATGATTTCATCCTAAATTGGCATTCGAACAACCTTTAATACAAACATTGTTTGAGAAGCGTTAAAAGAGGAAAATTGCCGCAGAATCTCTTATTAAACGCAGCTTTACAGTAAACGTGTGAAGAAGGTGGTGGGGGCGTTCATGCATTTGCTGTTGCAGTTGAATCAAGCCCTGATGCTTCATCCTTGTTTGTGTTTCATAATTAGATTTGTGAACAATGACATACAATTTGAAAGTTATTACAGCCATATGAAATTTACTGAATATCTAAAACATTGAAACCCGAGCAATGACCACACATATTATCGATGGAATACATTTTTGAGCACAATCAAACACTTGCAAAGGACATATCGTAAAAAAGATGAGCCGGGAGTAGCTTAGCATACCAACTGATGATACATGCAAGCGGGGACGCAGCCAGATGTTTCTAGACCGGTGTTGCAGATATTAAAGTGGGTGCGGTTATACAAATGGATAGATGTACACCCGGGCAATTCCGGGTACCTCGACAAGTCTTATATATATATATATATATATATATATATATGTGTGTGTGTGTGTGTGTGTGTGTGTGTGTGATGAGATAGATAGATAGATATGATATATTAGGGATATAGATCTGATATGAAAGATAGACTGATATGATAGGAGATAGATATAAACAGGAGATAGATAGATAGATAGATAGATAGATAGATAGATAGATAGATAGATAGATAGATAGATAGATATGAACAGACTGTGCATAGATAGATATGAACAAACGATGAATAGATACATATGAACTAAAGATAGATATTAAAAATAGAGAGATAGAGAAATAGAATCATAAATATAAACAGACGATAGATAGATAGATAGATAGATAGATAGATAGATAGATAGATAGATAGATAGATGTAAACAGATGACAGATAAATAGATATGTACAGACGAAAAAAGGTAGTAATGAAAAGCCTAAGATATATAGTAATGAACATACGACAGATAGATATATATGAACAGAAGACAGATATATAGATATCGACAGCCTATAGATAGATAGATAGATAGATAGATAGATAGATAGATAGATAGATAGATAGATAGTGAAGAATATTCAGAGAGATAGTGATGAAGAGACGAGAGATAGACGGAGATAAGTTTTGGTTTGTTTTGTTTTACGGCATATCAACCTCAATGGGTTATTTAATGCCGACAAAATTTTTATTGTTGGTAATATTTTTTTCAAAAATCTATTTCTGGTAATTTTTTTTTTCTTCAAAAATCTATTTCTGGTAATTTTCCTTCAAATATATATTGCTGGTAATATTTTTTTTTTTTTAAATGTATTGCTGGTATTAATTTTCTTTACAAACTATTTCAAATATTAAAACCTATTTTTAAACTTTCATAGTGTTTTGACCCCAGTTTCGGAATTAACTATTTGTCCATAGGTGGGACCATAACAGATGCTACCAGCCCGGGTTAGGGTGGACCTGAGAACACCAACAATTAAGAGGTGGTTTCACGCTCCTGATCAGAGACCTTGCTGTTGGATGTAGTTTATCGTCTTACCCAGGACGCGGATGTAGTTTATCGACATACCCAGGACGAGACGGAGATAAGAACAGACGAAGATAGATATATATGAGCAGAGGACAAATATATAAGAAAATACGATATATAGATTGATATATGTGAACAGACGATGCATAAATATGTGCTTACGATGCATAGATAGATATAGAGATAGATAGATGTGAACAGAATTAAATAGATAGATAGATGGAGAGAGAGACATATGAACAGACGACAGATAGAAAAATATGTATAGAAGAAAATAGATAGTTATGAAAAGTGTAAAATATACAGCTATGAATAGGTGACAGATATATATGTAAACAGAAGACAGATATAAAAATATGGACAACATATAGATAGATGGAGAGATTACTAGTTTTGAACAGTAGATAGATAGATAGATAGATAGATATGAATAGACGATAGACAGATACATACGGACAGAAGATACATATATAGATATGCTCAGACGATACATATATATATATATATATATATAGAGAGAGAGAGAGAGAGAGAGAGAGAAACAAGAGAAAGATAGATAGATAGATAGATAGATAGATAGATAGATAGATTTATATTGTTAAATATACAGACAATGAATGTATATTATGTTTGATCATGAGCCGTTCTATCTTTGTATATTTATTGTCATTTCGGTGAAAGAAAAGACAAAAATTTTCCAATCCTTGAGCTAAGCTTTCGGCTCACATGAGCCATCTTCAGAGTGGTTATACGGACATTTCAACAAAGATATTCACCATCAAAGATGATAGTCTGTTATGTTGCTATAGAAGATTCCTATGCGACGATAACGGTCGCGGAATAGCAGGCGCAGGTCGTAAATTCATGATACGGTTCTATGACTTCGTACCGTGTGAGAGACCAAAATGTTAACAACAGAACCATATGTCTAGATGCAATGTCATGTGCTGTGACTTGTTTGAAATGTAATTTTGTTGAGTGGTTTGCTTTGTTTTAATATAGATTCCCTATAATATCGGAAGGTTGTTTTACTGAGTGTATGTGTGAGTATTGTTGTGTTATCAACTAGTATCTGTGTAATATTATGTACATTGCTACATTTTTCTAAAAAAAAATGTTGTTTAATAGAACTAAATCAGAAAGGTGACATGTAAGTCTCCGGGAGAGTGTGGTTGTAGTAAAACCAATATATAAAGTGTGCTTATTATTAGTATCAGAGATAAAATGTCTGAACGGGCGTGTAAATTGATACACTACATTGGTTTTTATATCTATCTGTCGTAGATACGTACAGACTATGATAGATAGATGACAGCAATTAACAGACTTAGATAGATAGATAGATAGATAGATAGATAGATAGATAGATAGATAGATAGATAGATATAACATGACTACAGTAGATAGTTAAATATACATATATGAACAGACTATATTAGATCGATAGATACATATAAACAGACTACGATACATATATACACATGAACATACTACGAGAATTAGATATGACTATAGTACGATATATATATATATATATATATATATATATATATATATATATACACTCTACGATAGTTAGATTGATATACCTATATGAACAGACTACACAGATAATTAGATAGACATACATATATGATATACAGATATGAATAGATTGCGATAGACATCTATGAATAAACTACTATAGATATATAGACAGATATGAACATAGTACGATAGGTAGCTACACAGATATGAATTCACTACATTAGATAGATATGAACAGACTACAATTCATATAGAGACATATATGAAAGGACTACGATAAATATATATACATATATGAACAGATAACGATAAATAGATAGTTATACATATATGAACAGACTACAATAGATAGATAGATAGATAGATAGATAGATAGATAGATAGATAGATAGATAGATAGATAGATAGGAACTGACTATGGTAGATAGATGGATAGACTTAACAGACTACGGTAGATATCGACAGACTAAGATGGATATTAACTGATTGATACGAACAGACTGAGAATCATAAAATATGATATTGAGTAATATTCTTAGATAGATAGATAGATAGATAGATAGATAGATAGATAGATAGATAGATAGATAGATAGATAGATAGATAGATACGAACAGATTAATATAAATTGGTAGATAGGCACAGACTAATATAGATAGTTTTATATGAACAGACTTAGATACGAACAGACTAATATTGTAAATAGATATATAGATACATATGAACAGACTAAGATAGATCCATAAATGCAACTGAACAGGTACATATGTACAGAGATTGATAGATACATATCAAGAAACTAATATAAATAGATTCATATCAACAAAGTAAAATATATAATCATCAACTAAGATAATTAGATATGAATGTTCTATGATACATACATAGATATCAACTGCCAAAATGGATAGATAAATATGAACGAACCAACATATATAGATAGATATGAATAGACCACGATAGAGAGATGGATAGATATGAGCGAATCGCCATATTTAGATAGATAGATAGATAGATAGATAGATAGATAGATAGATAGATAGATAGATAGATAGATAGATAGATAGATATGAACGGACGACCATATTTAGATAGATAGATGATTTACAGTTGTCCCTATGTTGTTATTATCAAATCTTTCGCCGTCCTGGGTATGACAATAAACTATATCCGAGTCATGGGTAAGACGATAAACTACGTCCGACAGCAAGGCCTCTGATCAGGAGGTTTTGAGGAGTGTGGAACCACCTCGTAATTGCTGGTGTTCCCAGGTGGTAGCACCTGTTACGGTCCCAGCTAAGGGAAAATAGGGTAAAATCGCTATCAAAGTGAAAATACCAGAAATACTTTGTAAAAAATTATTACCATCAATAAATTTTTAAGAAAAAAAAATTATTACCAGCAATACGTTTTCAAAAAAAAATATTATCAAATTAAATAACTCATTGAGGTTGATATGCCGTAAAACAAACCAAACCAAATTTTTCGTTTGTTGTGTCTTCCCGTCTTCTTCAGATGTGGATCGATCTAGGTCACATTTAGGGAATTTAGAACTTAATCCTCTATTCAGTGTTTGAATTATTATATTGTGCTATCCATCTCTTAAGACAAGATCCCCTTAGTCCTTGGCAGAGAAACTGGAAAAACCTAAACGCGTAGATGAAATGTAATTTTCAATTCAAATTTGTCTGCAACTTACCCGGATCAGCAATCACCTGCTCAAGGAAAACCAAATTTTTATTAACAAAGATGAAGGAAAACCGAAATGGTTATAACAAAGATGAGTAAATAATGTAAATGATAATTCAAAATTCAGACACTAATATAAATAGATTAAATAATTAATATTAGATTAATACGCTAATGCTAAGATATCTTCACAAACTCCAGAATAAATGCCAATGGCCTAAATACTCCAGCTTTTTAAAAAATTATTTAAAAATTAAAAATATAATTTTGAAAGCCGCCACTTTTGACAGAAATTGTGAAGAGCAATATGTTATTATAGGTTCTATTCTTCTTTTCTCTTTTCGCCTTCATAAATATATTTACCAACACCAAAACAATAAAAGTTAAAAACAAAGCATCAATACTCATATCCATTTCATATTCTTCCTTCGTCTTTGTAATCATTATCTACATCTTTGGCCTGAACTGTCGTCATTTTCATTATTGATACTGATACTACTGATATTATTAGTAACTGGAGATCAAGTGGCAGCAATTCTCCTCGGTACTCATGCACGCTTTTCATTATTCCATCCATTTTTAATGATTCTGATTGGTCCAATTCCTCCTCCGATTTCCAGTTCCTTCAGTCTTTTTCCAATGCCGTCTGTGGACCGTTTCCCAACGATCCGATGACGATTAGTATGACTTTCACCATCATTTTCCCCAGCTTCCTTAGCTCCCTGACAACGTTGAGATATCTATCTTCTCGCTTTCTTTCATATCTACTCTGTGATTCCTCAGACCAGATTAAGCCAATATTTGATGTTTTCTTCATGTTCTTCACGAGTACCAGATTCGGTCTTCTGGCCTGGGTTGGGTAATCCGTTTGAATCCAAGAGAGAGTTTGCCTTGTGCACTTACCATTGACTTGTACGTTCAAAATGCAGTGACTTGCACAGTTCTCTATTGGACATCTTCTCTACCTTCTCCACAGGTTCACTGTCTTATCTTTATTTCCAAACAGCCTAAATTGGTTGTATACTCTTTACATTGATAATACTCTCCTCAGTAAATGTGCAGTCACACACAGTGCAATTTCTAATTTCTACTAAGCTGGGTCTGATAGAGATTTGATGCTCTTACCTTTTTTATCGTACCCAATGTTTTAGTTATAGTTGCTACTTTTTTTCGATTTCAAGATCCTTATATTTACTTTATTTTCATTTTCTTTACCACTTATATTTTAATCCGGTGGCAGTGCTATATCTATAAAAGACATTTTCTGTTTATAGCTTTTACAAGTCTGTCTCCATTAAAGTCCCAAAGTTTAGTAACCTCGTGGCCTTCTATGCCTGACTCAGAGTGATGTTCATATTATTGTTCTTATTTCAGTCATTGAATGTTTCCACCAGTCATAAATGTTAGTTCGGGCAAATCGACGTGGAATAATCGTTAGCAAGCTTGTTTCACTAGAACAATTACGACTGTTCCACATTTAAGCTATGCTTAGAAACTCACCATAAATGTTGGTTCATTTTGGAGATTAATTGGCAGCAAATCTCAATCCTCCAATATTCGTTATTATCACCATTTTCAATAATAGCAATGAGCACAACTGTCACATTAATCTTCGCTCATTTCTCGGTTCTCTTACTAGGGTTTGAAATTTGTCAACCTTTTCCATTTCTTTCTATGTTATTCTGTGATATGCTGTAAAATCTGTATGCTTTATTTCATACAATAAAACTCCTGTATAAATATTGTTACTGATTCTGAGTTAAGGAGTCTAGAATAAAACGTTTCCATCACAGTAGAATAGAGTCTCCCATGTGTCTAATATAGTTTACTTCTTTTCCAGATGCGTTAAATATCGGTGTTCAAGTTCAGTCAAGAAGATATTAAAGGCTAATTTTTAAAGCAGTAGAAACTATCCAATTGTAAGACGCTTATTAATAATTGCGATTTATTTTGTATTGTTCTTTCTTTTTTAATCGTTATCACCCTATGCAAGGCATTAAAGCCACTAAGACACAAGGGATTACAGGGCGTGGAAGAATTAGGAACAGAAACATTAATAATCCGCGGAAGAGGAAAGATTAATCAGGAGGATAGTAGATAGTGATTGGCATAGCATTTAAACTTTTGCAGATTAAATTTGGCTGGAAAGCATGAGGCCGTTACCTTAGTTTTCCTTTTTAGAAGTGAATGTTGGACAATCTCCTTACAGGCGAATAATAGACTTCAGGCAACATAAACGTGGTTCAGACCGAATATGTGAGCAACGACAAAGTTTTAGAAAAAAATGGAAACAAAAATGACACTTAAACTTAACATCAGGAAGGGACTGTTAAAATTTCTAGGGCCATAATGAGGAGAAAGATCTTGAAAAATTTTGTATTCACAGGACAGAATAAAAACAAAGCATCAAGACTCATATCATTGAGGGACAGAGGAAAACTACGCATAACCTACTCAGTGTGTTTGAGTAAATGGGTGGCAGCCCAGGGTTTAGGAGAAATAAAAAACAAAAAACAGATAATATTTATTAAGAGCTACAAAGGAGAGGAAAATGTGGAGAGCCGTGTTCGCCAACATCGTAAAGGAAAACAGCACATAGAAAAAGAATAAGAATGAATCCAGATGTTTTTATAAGAATAGAAACTGGATATCTTACTAGAAATTAACCAGCAAAACTTAATCTACAATAGATTTCCATCCTAGAAAAGTGTTGATAAATGTTTGATGTAACTGCATTAGTGTAGTCCACATTGAGTGGGTACCGTGTTACAATTAAATCCCACATCTATTTCCTTCAGCCAGGGCATTTAAACACCGATTTAAAGGAAAAGAGACAGAGTTTGATCGATTGCAAAGGGGTGGTGTTTCATCATAATAATGCACGTGTCCTATACTGCAAAGAACAAATCTGGAAAAAAAAATAATGAAGATCTTACCTGAGAAAAATTCCACACCTTTTTATTTTCCAGATCTTGTTCCATCCGATTTCCACCTACTCCGGCGTTTATAGAAATATCTTGAGGGGCGAGTTCTTAAAACATATGAAGAGGTTGAAAATGCTATTTTTACATTCTTTTTCATAAAACCAAAAAACTTTTACAAAAATGGTATCATGAAGATTAGGAATCACTCCAAGAAATTATTGACTCTAATCGAACCTATCTTAATGAATAATTGAACACGAATTTTTTTCAAAACGGATATTACCAAAAGGATAATCGAATATTATTATTATTATTATTAAATGCATTGTGTGTTCACACAATATTTCTGTTGGTTATCACTGGCGTAATAGTGTCTCTTCGAATCGCTAATAACTTTTGTAGTGTCTTGCTGTTGTCTCGACAATCTTACGTTTTCTTTGGATTTCTAACTCATTCAATCTTAATTCTAATTTTTTCGCACAGTTTAAATATGTCAAATGACACTTTATAAATGATAAAATTGTATCTTTATATAATCATACACGTTTAATAGGGTTTAATTAACTTAATTCCAAATATATAAATATTCAGACAGTTCTACGTTTTTATTAGTGCGTTACTCTGATTGGTACCAACTTATTCCATAAGTAATGTCTGTACCGTTACAGTGTTATATTGAAGGATATTTCCGCTATTTTAAAATGTCTAAATGATGTCTTTACAAGCTGTGTTCAAAGCGAGTACTTTCTAGCGTCACTATTTCGATTCAACTAAAAATTGTTGCATGGGCGATGTCATAATTTTACGCTTTCTTTCGTCTTTATCCTAGTAGGTAAAACCCATCTACAATTTAGCAGATTACCTTTTCTATCTGCCTTCCTGGTTGTAAGAAATGTTTTAATATAACCATTATGATACCCTGTCTGATAAGAGTATACTATGCACTTAGATCACATTGTATTATTAACGTTATTGTTGTTGCTATAATTTTTGAGATTATAAATATGTCCATGCTTTACTATTCCTAAGAACAATAAAAATTATATGAATGCAAATCTCACTTATTCGAAAAGCCTTCAGATCTGGCAGTTTAGATTTGTTCCATCCAAATGATCACTTTGCTATTTAAAC